CCCCCCCACCTTTAGTGAATTATTGTTTGAAACAGAGAAAAGGGAAGGAAGGAGAAACCTAACTTAATGCTATTCAGCACCAGTAGAAAGTCAATAGACCTTTAACATTCCTGTATATCAAAAACATTTTATCTGTATCACTAAACAGGTAAAGTTTACAATATTGTCCCATTTTAAGATGTATTGATTTATATTTACAATACTTTGTAGTCAATAAAACATTTTAACAATATTTAAAAATTGCTTAAATTCATAAAAGTATTGCAGAAATTTATAACATTTACTTATTTTACGTACATACAAGGAAGTCCATGTAAAACTGTCCATGTTCATCTGAAGAACTGACAGAGTGAGGAGCAATTTTAATACAGTTTGCAAAACCCCAATTATTTGAAGGCAGCTATCATTAAACATTCAAAAATCCTTAGTTGCCATTTGCTTCTGAAAACTAAAGTTCCAGTAATAAAATTGAGTATGTAAACTAACATGTTTTTGAGATCAGTAGAAAATATATTCCCACAGGCATAACATATTTAACAATGATGATAATGATTCTGTAGAAAACTGTTAAGCTGTAGTGATATCTGAAGAGACAACTCGGTAATGGTCTTTGCGAGACCCACAGATACAGTCATTTTCAAATATACAGTATTTTAGCAGCTCATTGGTTTCCAGTTAAACTTCCTACAGTGCTAAAATACGACAACTGAACGTGTAAGACCTTATTAGAATTTTAAAATCCAATCTATTTTGGCATCTAAAGCCTCTTGTAAAATGTAGCCAAGTAACATTGGATTCTGTAGTCTAAGAGCCAATTAATAAACCAACCAAAAGTACACACTGTGCTTTAATCTCCAAATAATTAGGTACCCAAAATTAAGAAAAAGTAATAGAAAAGTAAAAAGAACAAAATAAAAAAATATTGCACAGCCACATTACCTAGAAAGTAAAGTTGATGTTAAAAAGCCCTAAGTGTGGATGATATAAATTATCTTCCATATAAAAAGTATAAATATCTCTTAAAATACAGCTGCAGCTATACTTTAATACCACACATTATTTGATTCATCTGTTAATGAGGTAATAACCAAGTCTCTTACAACGCTTTTCTCTACTGAAAATATTTTAGGGCAGCAACAAGAAAGAATTTTTCTAAAAATATTTCTGAATCAAGAACAGCAATGTGTGCAGCTCTCCCTATGAGAGAATCTGCTGTATTGGGTAATGCATTAATTACATTGTAACGAACCAAATTACATTCCTTATTTTGAAGAACTGGCAGAAGCAGGTTCTGGATCATTTCAGCATAAATTGGTCCTGTAGAGGAAAAGAAAAGTTGTACTGTGTGAATCACCAGAAACAAACACAGTTCTTTGACCTTGAACTCAAAATGAGTATGTTCCACAATAAGAGAGGTAATGATACGTGTTATGCTGTTGCTCTGTTAAGACAGAATATACAGGAAGTTTAATTTCCCCAGAAATGTTGGAAAAATAATTTTAAGCTATGCATTTTAGTATTTGTACATTTATAGTGAGAATGTGCTCATCAGCATTAATGTGTTACACTAGGTAAAAGGTATTTGTCAATATATAATGCTAGAATGCAATTGTGCTATGATGTCTCAACAGTAAATACAACAACCATCCATCACTGAAAATGGGAAAACTACCTTTTCTTTCAGTGCTAGTATTAAGCCTCAATTAAATACAGCCCACGTGCTCAACACTACAACTTGATGTCCTCAAAAATCAAAGCTATTTGTCCTCCCTATTCATGGAGTAGCACATCAGTGGCTGTGTTCATCCCACCTAACTTTCAAGCAAAGTCTATAAACCAGAAATTTATTCAGTCTCATCTCCTTCTGCACGTAATAGAACAGGACAGATCCAGAAAGCAATTCAGCTCCCAAGTGGATTTTCTCTCTCCGTTACTACAAAGAAAGCCCAGAGTGTCTAAACACATAATAGAGGTGCCTCAGTTAAGCACCCAAAATTAAATGGGATGAATCTGAGACCTATCAGGTTTAACCTGAGTCATTTGTTTATTTTGCAGGATATTTATTACCTGATTGTTTATCCTTTAAAGCTGTTTTACACATCTCAATGCGAGCGGAGTGATAAGGAACATAACGATCCTGCAAAGATCCTACTAACACAATGTTTTTGAAGTAATTAAGACCTACAGGAAAAAAGAAAAAGGTATGTATTATAACAAATCCCTTGACAATTACTACAGAATAATTAAACATTTTACAACTGAAATTTGGCACCGATTTACTACAAGATCTTGCAAAAAAAAGGCAGAAAAATCAATTACAATAGGTAGAGCTACAGAATAACGAAATGTTGGGTACCAGCCTTTCCTCTGTACATATTTTAATGCATATGGGCGTGACCCAACTGTGATGTTTCCCATTTAAACAGAGTATAGTTCCAACCTTTGTCTTCCTTTTTAGGAATAAAGTGGTTGGGTTCTGGCTGACAGAAGGGAATAAAGCCTCTGCGTTGCTGCACCAGGATTAATGTCTAGCGTCAACAAGTACACGATATAGCCCACCTACTGTAGGTACCTCTATTAGGCACTGCCTTGCTGTAAGGTGTGGCCAGCTCGAGCACAGGTGCGGCGTCCACCCAACACAACTCCTCAATATAATTAAAACCTGTATAATTAAACCCAGACTTCCTACTTCTTGGACAAGCACTCTAATAATAGTAAGACGATGCAAAGGTAGGAACCCCCAGTAACAACGGAGGTCCTTAAGACATTTAATTGTTATGTTTCTCTAAAAATTCAGCAGATTTCTGTGCTGCCCATATGCTTTAGGCCAAATACAATGGAGCATTTTAGGAAAAGAGGTTGCCTTTGCCTTAGAACAGCCCCTTCTGAATATCATAGCTACCTACAGTTAAATACAAAGGCAACTGTCAGGCAAAACCAGAAAATGCTCCAACAGTTTAGGCGTATGTAAAGGTAAGCTCTACCGAAAAGCAGCCAGCCTGAATGGCTCTTAGGGAATCTCCTGGGTGTTAGATGCTTACATCTTATCGTTGGTAGATTTGATCCAACTCTATCTGCACCGGTGCCAATGAGTTTTGCACTGGTGCTATTAACCCTGCTTTTAATTTCCGGAGAATAATGGTCTGATTCTGTAACTGTTAGTTTTTAATTTACGAAATGTACTTAGTCCATTCTGAGAATTATAGGAATACTGCAAATAAAGTAATTCTTCAAAGGTGCTTCTTGGAATCTGCAGCAAACATTTTCTGTATTAACTCCACGAATCAAACTTTTCTTTCATTAAAAAAAGAGATCTGATTGTGTAGGAGAAAGAAATTATTTGCTATCTGCTTTTCAGAAGCTATACTGCCAGGACAAAGTTCTGGATTCTAGTTCCCCTGCTTTGTTCAGACTGAATATATACTAATACATACCTGTTCCTAAAGCCGTCAATAGAGCCCAAAGTGAAAAATCTTTCCTTTTTTCAGAGGTTGTTTCCTAATTTTCAATATTTTGTACACTCCATGTGATGAAGACTACATCTCCAAACCAAGTCAATTACAGAAACAATGCTAACAACTTTAGCATGTGAAAAAGTAAATGTATCTTCCCAGATTTCACAGAATATTGAAAAAAAAATTCTGTACATCTATAAAAACATACAGAAAATGCATCCAAACTATATCCTGGTTCCTGTCCTCTTCAAACAGGAAATCTGTTTGGGTTTTTTTTTTTGCCTGTGCCCACTGAAAAACAACACCATCTCAAAAGATCAGCTAAATCACTGGAGTCTTTTATTTGACATCTGAAAAATGACTGCAGCAAATCTTATGCAAAGATGCAGATGCCAGTTCCAAAACTTTGCACTGAGTTGAAAATAATGCATTTGGAATAAATCAAGGATAGGAATTCTCTGCAGGCTAATATGTAATAGTTTTGTAAATTCCTTGGGAGTTTATCTATCTTGTATTAAGTTTTTTTGATAGGCGCTTTCCCTAGAGAAATAACCATTAGCATTCATGTAAAAGGTACAAAGAAATGGAGTGCCTAGATCTTTTAATCAACTTGAAGAAGGAAGAGATATCCTGGGGAATCTTTAGCGGAACATCAGTCTACATCAATCAACATTTAAAGGGACTCTCTTCATCCTCACATGTGATACAATACAAACAAAAAAAAAAAACCCAGAACAGGCTTAGGACATCACAGTCTAATAAATTAGGCATCCCCTTTTGGTCACAGTGACTCATTTTCATGCTTTATATTCTGGTTCATAAAAATGTCTTGGGCTTCCCTTCATTTTAGGCACGATAAATATCAGGAATCTTTCATTACAAAAAAGTATTTGAGGGGAAAAAAGGCATATAGGGTATTTCATAAGCATCAGTTTTATTGTTTAACTATATTTGGGTGTTTTTTCTTTGGACAGCTCTTCATGCCTATTTTGAAGAAAAAAGTCCAAGTCTTACGTCTTTAAGTTGTTTATCCTGACATGGCTCGTGTGATATATATAGACCACATATGACTGTATGGATGGGAAAGAGAGGAGTCAAAATGATGTATATAAATGTACAGAGCCTAGCAACCTCTTAGATTTCCACAACATGAGATAGCTCAAACCAGTTGTCAATGAGGAGGAACTGCATGGTGTTCACCAGCATCCCTTCTGCGCTCCAGACAGGCTATGGGACTACTCAGGACATAAGCATGGAATGATCTCTAATATGGAAGTGTGCAGTGCTAAACTATGCCTAAATTAAGTGTACTTGTGGACAAAGAAGCAACTTATCACAATCTTTCATTTATGTAGCAGTAAAAACTGGCCCACCAGTCATCTTTACATGTTGTTCTTTCACTTACTTCCTAGACTTTAAATATGTTCTGCCTTTAATTAAATTAAAAATTGAGGAATAAATTGTGAACAAGAACACAGGTCAGTTAATTCCTACGATCCACATCTTTGTTTTCCCACACCACAAATAACACAAGATCTGTCACGCATACTGTAAGTATTAAAAAAAATCCCAAACTTAAAATTATGCAAGTAATTAATGAACCATTTTTTCTTGTGCAGCAAAATTTTCAGCTGCTGAATTAAGAAACCAACCCCAAAATCTAATTAGGCCAACATTTCCAGATTGTTGTAGTTAGGCAAAAATGCTAGAAGATTAAAACCTAATTCTATCAGAACAAAATACATTTGAACTCATCACATCACATCATCTACTGAATAGATCACACATTTTTGCTGAGTAATACAAAAAACACTGAGGTTGTCATTAACTAGAAAGTATTGACTAAATTTTTTCAACAGGATTTGAGATAGCTTGGAAAAGAACAATCCAAGTGAAAGATCACTGCTAAAATAACAAGCTTTGTCCCATATAACAGAATGTTCTTTCCTGTAGTAATGAACCTTCAATGGGCTTTCCAAATTTTTATGACGATCCTTATCACCTAATAGAACTTCAGTCTCAGTCAAAGTGAATTTAAGCATACACAGAGAGGAGAGCACAATTTCTATCATTTAACCATTGTGCCATTCATGTCCACTACTGAATTCTTAATAATAGCATTAGTCATTACTGAATTAATGATATCTATAAATTCATGAACAAAATATGTCACGTGGAAAAATCTGTCTAAGATAGCAGGTATAGAGACCTGGTAACTAATAACTAACGGCAATTATAGAGGAATAAATTTTTATACACGTTCAGGCACCAGAATCAGATGTTAAGTCTGCCCTCTAGCTATAGCCAACATGCAAGTAGGGAATGGGAGATGGAGCCACTGGTACAACGGGCTGCTGATACTCTCTGAGACTTGTATGACAAAAAGGATGACAAAATTCCATACCATTGCCCTTTAACTAATTCAAAACAAGACTTCAATTATTTGCAATGGACAATATTCACAATATTCACCACAGAGTTCTTGAGCATAATCAAATCAAAATCACTTATGATAAGCTTTAAAAAAAAAAAAAGTGTAACAATCTGATTCCATTAGTAAGCTGCCATTTTCCTTAGGAATATACTAATCACAGAATCCTAGAATAGAATAATTTATATTGGAAGGGACCTTTGGAGATCATCTGATCCTATCCACTTGCTCAAAGCAGGGCCAACTTTGATATTAGATCAGGTAGCTCAGGGTCATACCTGGTTGCTTTGACTTGAAGGAAACGTCTCAGTTTTGTCAAGGTACTAACGTTTTCTAAATTCTGTCCATTTACATACTTGTTTGGAAATAGGGATCTGGAATATTTGCAAAAAATGCGGTCTGGAAATAGGGACTTCAGAAATCAAGTCCTGGAAGGCAGCCATCTCCTGCAGTTGGTCTTCCGCACCGCTTTGTGAAGTTAACACATCTCACATGCAGCTAGAATCGTGCCCCAAAAATTCAAGCATTGAGATCCTGAATCAGCTGAGGTTTCAAATTAAGATGCCACAGTACAGATGCAAGGAAGCTCAGACTTTCAGCTTCAGTCCCACAAGAAGACTGATTAGGGAGCTAGATTTACATCAACTCAAGAGTTTCATGTCAGTTCAAACTCTGCCTTGAAGATTTTACTTTAAAGAACTTGGCTCCAGATGCCATAAAACCTACCAGATTCTCCAACATTGTTGGAACAGAGCTACCGAGGGCTGGGAAGTCCTTCTGCTTAGCAGAAGTAATTAGGTTCGTCTCCATGCCATGCTACCAATAGAGATGCTATTTCAATTCTAATCTCATCCTCATCACGAGTTATAAACGGGCACTCCCTCAAGTCAAGAGCTGAAATGCTTTTTCCCTCCACAAAGCCAAATAGCACCGAGTAAGCTAAGCTGACATCCTGTACATAATAGACATCTCAAAGAAGAAAACATGTCAACCATGCTTATTCACTGCTGATCTGTTAACATGGACATAAACAAAAACCAAAACAAACGTCTTTTCCTCCTTTCAGAGATTAGGAAAATGCACATTTTTAAAGGGAGGAGATAAGGCAATAAACAAGCACATCAGAACTCCACTAATCAAGACCTGTAGAAGTACTAAGACATATGAATCTAAGCCTACCTACCTAAGTACAAAAACATCCTGGAAGAGACTATGGCTGTACATTCATATTTGTGAACTCTGCATAGGAGGAACAGAACTGTAGAGCAAACCCACTGGTATTAAGAATCCCTCAT